AAAGAAAGAAAGAAAGGAAGAAAAGCTGAAAGCCGAAGAGAATGAATGAATGAATTGAATAAAGGGAGAAGTACAGTAAGAAGAAAGAATGAAAGAAGGAAAGAATGAAAGAAAGAAAGAAAGAAAGAAAGAAAGAAAGGAAGAAAGCTGAAAGCCGAAGAGAATGAATGAATGAATTGAATAAAGGGAGAAGTACAGAAAGAAAGAAAAGAATGAAAAAAAGGAAAGAAAGAAAGAAAGAAAAGAAAGAAAGAAAGAAAGAAAAAGAAAGAAAAGAAAGGAAGAAAGCTGAAAGCCGAAAAGAATGAATGAATGAATTGAATAAAGGGAGAAGTACAGTAAGAAGAAAGAATGAAAGAAGGACAGAATGAATGAAAGAAAGAAAGAAAGAAAGAAAGAAAGAAAGAAAGAAAGAAAGAAAGGAAGAAAGCTGAAAGCCGAAAAGAATGAATGAATGAATTGAATAAAGGGAGAAGTACAGTAAGAAGAAAGAATGAAAGAAGGAAAGAATGAATGAATGGAAGAAAGAATGAAAGAAGAAAAGAAAGATGAGTGAATGAAAGGATGGCAGAATGAATGAATGAATGGAAGAAAAGAAGAAGGACAGATAGATGAATGAATGAAAGAAGTACAAAATGAATGAATGAATAGAAGAAAGAAAGAAGAACAGAAGGATGAAAGAAGGACAGAATGAATGAACGGAAGAAAGAAATAAAGAGGAAAGACTGAAAGAAGGATAGAATGAATGAATGTATGAATGAAAATAAGAAGTTGGGGAGAAGAGGAATAGAAATGAATCACTTCTAGAAGCGCGGGAAAAAATATGAAGGGATCAAATTTATTATGCTACTTTGTAGAAAGAAAGAAAAAAACGAGAAAGGAAAGAAGAAAGGAAGGAAGAAAGAAAAAGAAAGAAAGAAAAAGAAGAAAAATGAAAGAAAGATAAAAGAAAGAAAAAATGCAAGAAAGAAATAATGAAAAAGTAAGAAAGAAAAAGAAAAAAAGAAAGAAAAACAGACAAATGGAAAGAAAGAAAGCTAGAAAGATTGTTTATCTTTTTACTTTTTTTTTTCCTCAGACGGAATGAAAGAAAAACTTTTTAATTTGAAGATTGTGAAAGAAAAAAGCAGATGAAAGATATTAAGGTTAAAATAAAGATAAGATGGTGGTTGTGAATTGTGTAGAAGGCAAAAAGAAGAGAAAGACAAAGAAAAATAATTTGAAAGCAAATAAGACGAATGAAAAAAAAGGAAAGAAAATAAAAGGAAAGAAGTAGATGAAGAGAGGTTAAGAAAAGTATAGAACTAAAGAAGATTAAAGAAGAAAATCGATAAAAGAATGAAAGAATGAATAAATGAAAGAATGAATGAATGAAAGAATGAATGAAAGAATGAATAAATGAAAGAATGAATGAAAGAATGAATGAATGAAAGAATGAATGAAAGAATGAATGAATGAATGAAAGAATAAATGAATGAATGAATGAATGAAAGAATGAATGAAAGAATGAATGAATGAAAGAATGAATGAATGAAAAAGAATGAATGAATGAAAGAATGAATGAATGAATGAAAGAATAAATGAATGAATGAATGAAAGAATGAATGAATTAAAGAATGAATGAAAGAATAAATGAATGAATGAAAGAATGAATGAATGAAAGAATAAATGAATGAAAGAATGAATGAATGAAAGAATAAATGAATGAAAGATAGGTAGATGTCAATAAAAATATAAAAATGAAAGAAAGGGATTAAGAAAGAAAGAGATGAAAGAAAGAACAACGAACGTAAGGAAGAAAGAGAAGCAAGTGATTCTGAAAAGAACGATGGAAAATTGATGAAAAAGATGAAGGTAAAAGGGCAAAGAAAGAAGATTAAAGATGAAATAGAAAAAAATAAAAGAGAGAAATTGATTCAGATTTTGAAAGAAAATTATTGAATGAAAAATGAGACAATTAAAGGGAAATAAATTAGAAAAAAAAAAGGAATGAAAACTATTAAGCAAGGAAAAAATAAACAAAAGAAATCATTTGTATAAACGAACTGCTACCATTTAAAAAAAAAATTGTGACATAGAAAGTAAAGCAGACAATAGCAAAAAAAAATAAAAAATACAAAATGAAATAATAAAACGGACAGCGCAAAAGCAAAGAAAACTTCAATTAAACCCGGAAAAGACAAACCAATAACAAATGCTCAAATGATTGCTCGTGGGGATATCGGCTATTTTGAGCGAAATGCATACATATTACTCGGCGTTCAACTTCTCCAAGAAATGGTGAATGGAGTGGCCTTGTAAACACATTGTCGTGGCAGGCCAGGTTATCAAGCTGACACTGCAGTTCAACATACAAATTCTCAGAAAGAGCATTTTCTAACAAGTCTTACTCTGCGCCTGCGCATCTCTGAACATGGGTGAATCGGACTGTCTGGCAATTCTCGGATGCTACTATTCGCGAAATGCAAACTCACTCTCTCTTTCTCTCTCTCCTTCCCTCTCTCCTTCTTTCTCTCACTCGCTCTCTCACGTTTTCTCTCTCCCACTCGTTATCTCTCACGCTTTCTCTCTCTCTCACTCTCTCTATTTCTTTCTCACTATCACTCACTCACTCACTCACTCACTCACTCTCTCTTTCTTTCTCACTATCTTTCATTCACTCTCTCTTTCATGCTTCCTCTCTCTCACGCTTTCTCGCACATTTTATCTCTCTCTCTCTCTCTCTCTCTCACGCGCTTTTTCTCTCACTCACTCACTCACTCTCTGTCTCTATTTACGGCCACATCACGTTGAACCACCGGTTCCAGTAAGATCACTGAAGTTAAGCAACGTCGTGCATGGTTAAATCTTAGATGGGTGACCGTTCGGAAATAGCAGGTGCCGTATGCTTGGATGTGCGGGTGGTGTTAAAGATAATAGTTCATAATTATTAGCCGGGTAGCCGAATTCCAGTTTAAGTTAGGTTCAATAAATTCACTTACGCGCAAATACTCTTGGGAAAGGTATGAATCCCCCTCTTCTCCCCCAGCTATGGGTTAATTAGTAAGACTTGTATCCCTAAACCATTATTATCCCCTCCCCTAAAAAGAAAATCGTACAAAAAAAAAGAAAAAATATAAAATGGTGACAATTTATCCATCGCACCCTGTATGTTGTCAAAATTCATTCAGTCATAGAGAAGAAGGAAAACATATCCTCAGATTTTCCACATTAACACCATTTATGGAGAACTTGTACGCTCCCTGACATACTAGACGTGGGTGAGAAGCTCCTGACCCACTCAAGCCGAGACAAAGATCACTTTTTTAAGCGATGTTCCGGAAGAGATTAAAGCAAATGACGTCACTAGTTTAGGGATTTTGCGGCCGCTAGAGGAAGTCAAGTGATTAGTTCTTGTGGGACCCTGATACAAATTTTTTTTTAATTGAAACGTGATGGCTTTTATATTTAGAATTGATATTTTAGTCCCACGTGGTAATCATCCCGCGTGCAAAGTAATTATTTCTCTTTATTTAGCCTTTTAAATAAAAGAATTTCGTCTTCCGTAAGATAAGGGGTATTAAGCAGTGCAAACTCTGTTCTCTTGACTTTGTGGCCAACAGAAACCATTATGACCGCAAGAAGAATTTTAACGCACTTTACCGATATGAAAGGAAAGGAAGCTGGGGAGAGCGATTATCACAAACGTCCACGAAGTCCAAGTCACTTAAAAAGTGAACGAGCCATTAGACATTACACCACCCGCACATCCAAACTTGGTATTCCGATGCGGTCACCCATCTATGTATTGACCAGGCTCGACGTTGCTTAATTTCGGTGATTGTACGAGAACCCGTGTTTCAACGTGATGTGGCCGTATTATGTTATTTTTCTCTCTTTCTCTTTTCACCACATTTCAGGACATCTATTCTGTGCGAAAAGAATAACCCTATTCGATTTCATGAACTTTTTCGACAGAGAATTGATATTTTAGTCCCACGGGGCAATAATATTGCGTGAAAACTAATTATTTCTCCTTATTTATTCAAATTATGTTCCCAAGAAGAATTTAAACACGCTTTACGAATATGAAAGAAAAAGAAGAAGCATCTATGAAGGTCAAGTCTTTTAGAAATTAAAAGAGAAAGAGAGAGAGACAGATAGACAGATAGAGTGTGTGTGAGAGAGAGAAGCATCTTAAAAATTATTGGATAAGTCAAGTTAAGATTATATTTCGCACAAATCAAGGCAACAGAGTCCCTAAGACGCAAGTGATTACTGAGTTTGAGATCATAAGAAAAAAAGAAAAACATTGTTAATGAGAGAGAACAATAAAAGAACAGGAATTTAGAAAACAGAGCATATCGATTGGCATTGCATTTCAACTTTTGAAGATCAAAGTAGACTGGTAAGCATGAAGTCGGAAGAGAATTTCACAAAGGAGATTTGCCAGAGAAGACACTGTTAGCACATAACTTATGGATACATCTAGCTATTTCAACTGCAAGGTGATGAGACCTAACCGCCAATCTAGTAGTACGATTACATTTATAAAGTCTATTTGGCAAAGAGAAATTCCTTCAAAATAATGATGTCTTCAAATCTATATTGACATACATTTCTAGCATCTCTATTTAGACTGTTAAATCGAGTGTTTGTCACTGAAAGTTAATGTGTTGAAATCTCCAGGTGGCGGGCCATTTGCTGGATATAAATTATACACCATTCTAGGTCAGGAGACATTTTCGTGTTACAGAACACAGTAGTTTTTGTATTTGATTTTTTTTTTTTGTTGTTTAGTGGAATATCAATAATTGGCAGGTAATTTAATACCGATATCTAAATATTTTGTTCACAATTTTTTATTTTATTTTTGGAATTAATTATAGTTTAGTGACACAAATGTTACTAATTAACCCATAACGGGGGGAGAAGAGGTGGATTCATATCTTTCCCAAGTGTATTTGCACGTAGGTCAACATAACGAACCCGATTAACAATTCAGAGCCATTAGACATTACATCACCTGCATATCCAAACTTGGTATTCCCAAGCGGTCACTCATCTAAGTACTGACCAGACTCGATGTTGTTTAATTTCGTACGGTATTTCAACGTAATGTGACCGTAAGCCCCAGAATGCATTATTTTTCTCTCTTTTCTCTTTTCACCACTTTTCAGGAAATCTATTCTGTGCGAAAAGAAAAAAAAGTCCTATTCGATTTCGTGAACTTGTTGGAAGTCACATTACGTTATAATGTTGGGATTAATTGTCTGGAGACTATTCCATATGCAGAAGAATTTGCGTTACTAGTCCACGTGACGGTTTTCTTTTATTCCATTTGCAACAGTTGGATGAGCCTCCATATCTCGTTTTCTTTGTCCAGAAAAAGGTCATTTTTTGTTCCAATGCATGATATATACAATGTCAAGAATACTATAACGCAATACTACTGGCGCATATTTGGATCACCAGCAATTAAACCGGTTCTTCCTTCAGGCCTTTCCGTGGAAGGACAACCCAGGGAGGATTAACCTCTTCTACGCCAATTATTTTGGGAAAAATATTTCATTTTTAGACGAATGTATTTTATTTTATTTTTCATATCGTAATTAAGAAACTGAGACAACTTGAAGTACCCGAGGGGTACGACCAGACATTTGAGTTAACAACTGGAATGGTTTCAATCTCAGAACGGCATTAAAATAAAATCAAGATCGACGTATAGACACGTCTGTAGCTGGTTTTGAACGTTACGTTTTGGACGCGTTTATTCGTCACTGCTTGAAAATGACATCCTAAAAAAAAAAAAAAAAAAAAAAAAAAAAAAAAAAACGTATATACACGTCTACGCTGGTGACTTGGTTAAAAACAAAAACTTCTAAAACGCCTTGTAGTCTCAACCTCTATCTAGCGTAATATGTAGAGGGCATCCTCTACTAAATTCTCTATCTGTAGTTTTCTCTTTGTTCTGTCTGTCATTAAAACGGTATTATCTGCCTACCTTATATTGTTAAGACTGTGCCAAACAGTAATAAATTCTGTTAGGTCTTCTGTTTTTTCTTAGGATCGCATCATTGTAAAAGATATCTAAATTTGGTGTTGAAGCGGATTCTTGTCTCACGCCCCTTTCTATTTTTTTCCAGTTTCCTTGTCAACTGTTTCGAATTTATATTCCAAATTCTCCTAATAATATTCATGTAGTAGTTACAGGCAACTGGGTCGCTACTTCTCACCCTTTGCCAATTTCTCGATGCTCAATCAGAAGAAGAAAGGACGAATCACCAATTGTATGGCACAATGTATGGTTGTCAGCAAAAGGGGCAGACCAATATGCGAAATACGAATTGAAAACACCAAAATGAATCAACTACAAAAATTTAGATATCTAGGAAGCTTTTTAGCAGTGGATGGAAAACATGATACCGAAATACGAAAGCGTATTGGAATAGTGAAAGATGCCCTCGAAACGCAAAGCAAAGTATTAGGGAACAGAAAAACAGAAAAAAAAAACTTTCATTGCTATGATTTGATGGCAGTGAACTTTTCAGCGATGATTTGATGCCGATAAACTTATCGGGCACCGTTAATATACAACTTACTTTGGGACCTTTTCATGTATTCACAGCAGTTTTAATCTGTTCAGCTATTATGGAAATTTCTAGATTGATTTATACAGAGACATTTCCGTGCAATAAACCTTTCTCACGGTGAACTTTCCTCGAAGTGAACCTAGCTCGCAATGAACTTTCTTCGAAGTGAAACTTACTCGCAGTGAACTTTCCTCGAAGTGAAACTTACTCGCAGTGAACTTTCCTCGAAGTGAAACTTACTCGCAGTGAACTTTCCTCGAAGTGAAACTTACTCGCAGTGAACTTTCCTCGAAGTGAAACTTACTAGCGATGAATTTTTTCGAAGTGAAACTTACCCGCGGTGAACTTTCCTCGTGGCGAACTTTCATCGTTATGATTTGATGGCAGTGAACTTTTCAGCGGTGATTTGATGGCGGTGAACTTACCGGACACAAAATCAAATAGGTACTGGTACACAAGGACAACGGTATAATAACCAGATCTGTCTAATATTTGATTAGGGTATTTGACAGAATAAAACAATAAAAAAAAAAACAAAAAAAAAAAAAAACGAAACAATGGTAGCTGTCTCAAAACAAAAAAAAAAACATCAAGAAAAAAAAAAGAAAACTTATTTCTTAAGAAAAATTTTAAAACATCAGACCATTGTATGCATTGACTTTCGTGAGTGACAGAACTAATTTCAACTCGGAATTAGTTTCACTTCGCAATTAGTTTTACCTCGGAATTAATTTAACCTCGGAATTAATTTAACCTCGGAACTAATTTTAACTCGGAATTAGTTTCACCTCGCAATTAGTTTTACCTCGGAATTAATTTAACCTCGGAATTAATTTAACCTCGGAACTAATTTCAACTCGGAATTAGTTTCACCTCGCAATTAGTTTTACCTCGGAATTAATTTAACCTCGGAATTAATTTAACCTCGGAACTAATTTCAACTCGAAATTAGTTTCACCTCGCAATTAGTTTTACCTCGGAATTAATTTAACCTCGGAATTAATTTAACATCGGAACTAATTTCAACTCGGAATTAATTTCTACTCGGAACTAATTTCAATTCGTAATTAATTTCAACTCGGAATTAATTTCAACTAGATTTAAAATCAAAGTTATCAATTTCCGTGAATTCCTAAACAAAATGCAATGCGTTGGTGTCATTTTTTTAAATTTAGTATTAAAAAATCCTTAGTCGATAAGATAATTCAGAATTCATCTTTTCTGCAATTTTCAGTCTTTTTTGTTGCAAATAAATAAAATGGTACTTTTTTATTTGCTTTTATTCATTTAAATCTGATCCAATAAAAATGCAATG